TCTTGGACTTGCCTTGTGCCTTGCCGCATGATATCGACTCCTTCGAAACATTGGTCCTGCTCGACTTGTGCTCCTAGGGTCGTTTGCGTCCGTGCGGCTGCGGTGGTGACCATCCTTGCTGGTGTTGGAGGTGGCGCGCCATCTCGTCGAACCTCCGATTCATGTTATCAATTAAATCCTATGGCTTCGTGCATGTTTCGGACTCGTCTTAAAGATGATGATGATATATATATTTTCTTTTTGACAATACTCGCGCACACACGCAAAAAGAAAAACAAATGATCTCTCTTTTTTTTACGCCAACTCTCACAAAACCCAAAATCAAAACCTTTTTTTTTTCTCTACTATATGACTCACGCAACTAACACTCAAATATATATATATATAATTTTTTTTTTGTTTATTTCTCACGCATACTCAAAATAAAGACAAAATAATATTTTTTTTTTTAAAGTAGCAAAAACAAAGAAAACTTTTTTTTTTTTTTTGAATCAAACGAAAAAGAAAAACGAGAGAAAGAAAAAGAATGGGGAAGAAAAAGATACACGATTTAATCACCTCTCAACGAGAGCACCAATGATGAAGATCGCGTGTCCTGACTGCCGAGAAGCCTCTTGCCCAGTCCTTAAATCGCGGATAGGTGCTTCTCGAGCCACAACCGCGCCTCTTGAAACGAATAAAATTACAATAGAATTTTGGTGAAAAACTAAAGCAAAGTGTTTGAACAAAAGTTCAGGATTTTCTACTAACTACTAAGACTATTCAAGATTCAATTCATCATTAAAAATAACAAGAGCAAGGGCCTTTATATCGGCACAAATTATGTCCAGTCCTAATCTACCTAGGGAACTAATAAAGCAATAAAAACCTAAACAATCTTAATATCATAATGCAATAAGGAAACCAAATAGATAGGGGATCTAATTCCTTGGCTTGCACTCCAAGTAAAAGACTCCCCAGCCTCCTCTCTCTCTCTCTCTCTCTCTCTCTCTCTCTCTCTCTCTCTCTCTCTCTCTCTCTTGCGCCGCCTAGGGCTCCTACGCCTTGCGCCTCGCCTTAGTCCTATAGGACTAAGGTTGTGTTGTCTTTGCCCGCATGTCCTCTTGCCTCGAGGATTAAGGGCTCGCGCTCTGCGTGCGCCATTCCTATTCCTTGAAGGATCATGCTTCGAGCCCATATCCACTTTGCCTAGTCCTACTAGGAATATGCCCCCAGCTATGTTGCCTGATCACTCGAGGATTACTCCCGTCACTGATCTTTCACGCGTGTTCCAGCACTTAGCTTCTTTTTCTAGTCCTGCAGGGTCTAGTACTTGCGCCTTGCCTCCTATGAGGACTAGGCTTGTTGTCCTGGGCTCGCGCGCGTGCCTGCGCGCCCGTGTGCGCGTGCTGCGCCCGATGTGCACCCGACTTACACGTCACCTAATCTTTCGAGCCACCTGATGTCTTAGGCATCTCCACCAGGATTTTTTCCTTCGATGTGCATCTCTAAACCTCCAATGGCGCTTCCGTTCGGGGTGTGGTTTCGTCCGCGCGCGTCTACGCCTTTGCGCATGTTCGCGCCCTTCTGGTTGGGTCGATTCACGACTTCGCCGCGTTTGGGTTGACTTGTGTTGCCTCTTTTGTACCCGTTGCATAGGCCTTGTTGGGTTCTATTAGGAACTTCGACAATGTGCACATTCAAATCTATCGAATAATAAATCATAACGCAGCAAAATCTATAGTTAGGATTAGGACTTACGGTTTAAAAAATTTTTGCAGACTCTGAGACGTTTCTGATTTCCGTTGATGGAGATCGTCTGAACACCAAGTCTAATGGGCAGCTAGACTTGGCCTTTCTCGATTCTAATCGAGTCATCAAGGTGCTCCAATCGCTCATCAACCTCATCGGATCATCTCGGACCTTCGGTAAGTGCGTTGGACTCCTCGGGCCGTTCGAAAACCTTGAACTGGGTTGAACCTTGCTGGCTACGTCTGGAACGGTCTGGTGGTGTTCTGGACCGGCTGGAGCACGCTGGGCCGGTCTGGGAACTCGCTAAGTTCAGAGTGTTAGAGGTATGCTGTAAAAGCTATGTTTTGCAGATTCTATCAATTCCATTTTGATCTGGCAATCATGTTTCGGTCAAAGTACATATGTTTGTAGTTTATTTATTTATGCAACACATACTCCATGTCTTATATTGAGGTAGTGTGGTTCGAAGAGTTTCGAACAGAAAGATCACCTATCGGTTCCTTATAAGACTAAACTATTCGTTCACTGTCTAGACTGGCAGTGAGACCCCACTTGGAAAAAGACTGTAGTGTATTCCCGATTCAGTTGGTCTTTGACTGAAGGACTACATTAGCACTTATGTTAAGTGTTGAACAGGACCGCGGAAGGCAAAGTTTATGAGAATCATTGACCGTTGTTGTAACCTCGCCCTTCAGTGATTGATGCGTTTTCTTAAGTTGTAATATAATATAAAATAGGCACATATTTTTATCTCTTATTTATTTGATTTACCAAGTGATTCCTATTCTGTTAGGATCACATACGAGGTATTTTGGTAAGTAAGAATAATTATATGATGTGCTATTATAGATTATTTACAGTCACTATGTTCCAGTGCGCTGGATTGATGACGTCCCCGAAATGAGCTCAGAAAGGAACCTTATGTTAAACACTGCAGGTAGACGATTGTCTGACATAATGGTTAAAGGCTGAGTGGTACTAATTTCGGAAAATGAATAAGAAGTTGATTAATTACTTTGTCAGTAATTTAATTAATCAACGGACGTTATATCTTAAACATAGGAAGGTAAATCGATCAATCAGATTAATATTATTTAA